GAATTGAATGCTGCTAAATTTAACTATGTGATCATACCTGAAGTTCGGATTCAAGGAAATCAAGAATTGTAGCAGGAATGATCCCTCTGATACCACCGCCGTCAATACTAAGAATAGTTACTAGATTCTCATTGACTGGGGGCAGGTTTTGAAGAGAAGATTTTGCTCCTTCCATTTCTACTTAGCTAATATTGATGATTTGTTCTCAAATCTGCGCAAATATATTGGACCACGTTGAACCGCATAACGAGCGGTACTTATATAGAGGACGATTCCCCCTTTTTCTTTCTTCTTTTTCTTTTTATATTTCCCCGTAGATTTTCCAACTTAGACAACTAGGATGAAAGTTTATCCAACTCATAATATTATGAAGTTATTGAAGGATGGTTACTTTATGTTACACACATGTGGGCTAGTTCATTCTGTCTGATTTCACTTTTTGAACAGGAAATTATTATTGGTGTGGGATGTATTTTTTGGGAAGTTTTTGGAGAAAAATTACTCTAGCACTTTTTTAGGATCTAATGTATGTGAGGCAAAAAGTTAACTGAAAATTAAACAAAAGAAATATTGAAAAACATAACATTTTTTTTTTCCAAAAAATCACAATTCAATTGCGTATTCGCATGTATATGTCTCTTAATTGCCCAATGGATATAACCCCAACACACATGCATGACAGATTAAATCATTAAAACTTCTATTTTTGTCCTTCACTCGTATGAAATTCTGCTGCAATAATCTCTTAGAACACATCTATATGGAGATTTTCTTTTGACAATCAAATTGTATATCATAGAAAACTATAACTTATTTTTATAAAATTGGAGATAAGTATTTGGATAGAGTTTTATTTGTAAAAACTTTTTGATTGCATCACAAATACGTTTTTCAACCACTTTTTTTTTTTTTTCATTTCAGATACATCAAAGTACAAAAGGTGCTATGGTGTTTTTCTTAACTACACAAGTAGCTACAAACAATAATTATTAATTTGAAATAAAACTAGTTGCATGCAATAAAAAAATTAATATTCTATGAGAGATGCACCCGAGTCTTTAGCTTCCTAGTTGTCTGGCTTCAACTTGGGGAATTCCTTGGCTTTTATGGTCGATTAACAGTAGACAATAATGTGTTGGGCTAATAATTAATTCTTCCCACTACTCACATTCCTATAAAGTATCAAAACGTTTTTCACGTTATGCTGGGTTGTGCCTCAGAAGATTGTTTTTCCTCTTTCTCCCTCTAAAAAATGGTTGGTGTGATGCAGAAGTCAGTGGAGGTCGCCTTCTCTAGCTTAGGAATCTGTACGATGATGAAGAATCAAATTCGAAAGGCAGAGGAATTTTATTGATGAATGGGAGAAATGAGGCAGACAAGGAATAATAACTCAGGAATAATAAGTGTTAAAAGTCTGGATTACAATCTGGATTCCCTTATTCACCTTCGGGCTTCCCTTTTAAGTTACTCAGACAGGTTATTCTTGCTGCTGCCAGCAATTATTAACTACTTATTGGCAAATAGGAAATATTACCCATTTGGATTAACTGTTTCTGGGAGCGTTTTTGAAAAATTTTACTGTAACAATTTATATAAAAATTTTTTACTATAAAAATTTTTTGAAATATTTGATATATTGTATAGATGAAATGTTTTTTGAATTATTGTGTATTACTATAACATTGTATTTGAAAAAAAAGACCGATCCAAATGGATCCTTGCCAGAAAGGTGAAATGCATCATGGTAAGTGACTAGGTTTGTTGGCAAAAGATAAAACTGTTCTAATTCAACTCCTTGTTCTTTTGTTGTGATTTCGATTGTCGCAATCTCTTTTCTTTGGACAGCAATTTTGCAACCCTATATAACATTCATTACCAAAAAAATAAATAAATAAAAAATCATACTAATAATAATTAATGAAATCAATAAATATTAGGGAATAAATAATCAAGCAATTTTTCCCAACCAATTTGGACTAATTACACTCGAAATTCGAGCCAAAAACTGGATACTTGGACAAAGATTATTGTCAAGTGATTGGTACCGTTTTAGGGCATCTGCGTTAGTGCCACCATTGTCGATGGGCTCAGATAATCCTGTCATCGGATTCACTCTTGAAACCATCTTGTTCAATAAGCTTTCGCCAATTTTCACTAATTTTTCCATCCTGGGTCATCTTTTGTTTCTTTCATCAGCTGAGGAGCGAGTCCCGGTTAATTGACCATCCTGCAGGCAACAACATGCACAAAAGACGTATATTTTGGACTAATTCTACCATGTAATTCGATTATGATTTTCGGACATAAATCCGACAAATTTTCCAGTGTAATTGTCATTTTATAATTCAAGAAGATGAATGGGGGAGAAATTCCAACACAAAATGTTTCCTTCATGAAAAATCCAATGAACCGATCGATGTGAATCCGATCGGTCAAATCATATTCGGATCGGATCACATATGAATTAGGAAGTTGGGCGTATTGGATTTGAATTTAATTTTCTATAATTTGTGGATATTTGATCTGACTCGCATAGTACTTTTTATATATTTTTTTAGAAATTTATCCGTTAAAACATCCAATGCCCAGGTTCACAATGTCAGCGCTGCATCTATGTTCATTCTTTGGTAAGCCTGTTCCCCAGTGAGGTCAATAGATAGCGTCCATAATCCATTGGCTAGCTTCGGGAGGAATCTGGATTTTTTCTGCACAGTTGTCTGTTTACTTCGGTAATAGCTACTAAGACCTTGTCAGTAATTATACAAAAAAAAAAACATGGTTAGTTTGATAACTCAAATATAATGAACTTTATTGCTAGCTAGCTAGCTAACTATTTTGGGGTGTTCAAAAAAGAAGGTATGTACATATATAATATGTTGCCTTTTGAGTTATATATATATATATATGTGTGTGTGTGTGTGTATATATGTATATGTATGTACATATATATATATATATATAAACTTTTAGCAGTATTTATCTCCTTTTTATACTTCATATATTATTGCATTAAATTATAATTTTCTTATTAGAGTCAATCTTTTTAATCTGCACAAAAATCTGAACATGTGGCAATCACTAGCTACTCAATTAACCTGGGGAACTATTTGCTGACATACATACATTCATACGTATGTACGCACATATATATATATATATATATATATATATATATATATATATATATATATATATGTGTGTGTGTGCATGCAGCTAATTTAATTAACCATTTTCTCTCTTTTAGGTGGCATGTCTAATTAAAAAGAATTGATGGGTTATTTGAATACTTGATTTTTACCCACATTTGTATCCAACTCTTCTCCAACCAATTCTTCTCATAGTTTCGCTGTCCTTTAACAACTTAATCCTTTTTGATAAATTTGAATTATATTTTATGATGGTTTTCCTCTCTATTTTAACAAACTTTATTTTTATTTATAAATTCACTTAATTTATTTTATTTGTAGGTGTTAAACTTATTTGGTGTTATTTTAATTTTTGCTTCATAAAAGTTGCTAGAAACTTAATATTCATTCATGGAGAAAATAAATTTTTGCGTCTTTGATATTTAATAATTGAATCAAAAATTAATATGGTGCCTGAACACTAAAATATTCATGAATATGTAAGAATATTATTTTTTTTAAAGTATACATACTTGCATAAATTCACAACTAATACTAATATAAAAAAGAAACTTGTAAAGTATCTCGTGCTAATGCACGAGATAAATACTTGTAAGACATGAAATAGTGACTCCTATTTCCAAATTAGGCTTGAGGTAAAGATTTTTTCCTTAAATTAGATATGAACTAACTGTAATCAGCACTAGGGATTTCTTTTGACCTGGTTAGAACAATGTTACCCTTACAATTGGGATCATAAATAGAAGTTTATAACGTTAACGCAAAGCCACAGAGGCTTTATATGTGGTATTAATAGATAATATTAGTGTCAGGACTACTTGGATGCAGTCGTTTGGTTGTAAAAGTGAAACAATGATGAAATGATGTAGTTTTGTTAAGCGAATTAGTCAGGAACAGTTAATGCTGATATGTTATAAAACAAAGAATTTAATTGGTCGTAAAGACATTGGCATGAAATTTTAATTTATACTCAAACTTCTCCTATTGCAAGTGCACAGATCCTATACAAGTATAGGGAATATTTGAATGTCGATCCTACAGGAAAAGATGATCAACTACGTACTAACGTTATTCAGAGTCTTTTATTACTAATACTAATAACAAGAAAAGAACATTACACTAAGAAACGTAGATTAATCAAAGAAACTATCATGATAAGATCGGTTTTCTCTCCAACTTTGCAAGATAAAGGACCTGATTATTGCGTTTTGTCACTTTGGCTAAGTATGGCATAATTTCTTAATGTATGTAAAATTTTTTTTTTTTTATAATGAATCAACTATATGTAAACTAATCTGTACCTAATTTCATGGTTATGAAATTAGTTATATGCTCATTAGTTTCTGTGAAATTACATGATAAAAAATTACAATAGTGATTTTCAAACTTAGTGAGTAAACTCCCTAAATTTAATATTTCTTTAAACTAGTATTAAACACCACTTTCATTGATGATCTAACACCTTTGGATAATCTCAACTAATAACCAGTTAATTATGATTTTACAAACGAAAGTGCTAAATACTGGTTCAAAGAATAAACACAACCACCGGGTTCATTTCATCTAACAAAGAAGAAATTAAACCTATCTAGGCATGAACTCTCCATCTTTGCGTCTCAAATTTTCTTCTAAATCTAACTATAAGTACAAGAATGGATAAAAACTACGCTAACATATTCTACTCGTAAACAAACTACTAGGAGCTTGTAGTTGTAGGTTTAGAGCTCCTCAGTTTTTTCATAACGTATAATTACAATAACTAACAACAATAAAGGTGCATCACCTAGGAATTCCTTTCACCAAATTTTTAAATGGTATAATGTAATATTACGTTGAACATTGAAGTCAATATCGTCATTAGGAATGTAAGGTCGACCAATTCTATTTTGTATAAAGTTTCAAGAAATAACAACGTCCACCATATGCTGGATAAAATGCACAGCTTATGCTCAGATAATTAAGTACAAGAAAGAAGTAACAAATTGGTGGCTACAAGACCATTGAAGTTGGTTCGGTGGCTAAGGAAGGTTTTTAAAGTTCTCTTCGATATCAGAACGGGTGGGGCGAAAAGAGTGCAAGGAAGGAAGGTAAGAAAAAGAAAATTGACAATTACGAGTTTGCCCCTGTATTAATTTGTGGTTTGAGATTTTGACCTTCGGAGTCTCCTTTCATCCGAGAGCAATTTTGCGAACCTATTAAAAATGTGAAGAAACGTTAAACAAATAAATGAAGAAGATGAAAGTTTTGACTTATTATTTCCAAACAATATCATTTTTCCACTTTGAAGTCCTAGCCATCTATTATTAAGTACTAATTTTTATTTATTAACAAGATGGTTTAAGCTAATTTCCCTTTATATCTAATTAACCAAAGAAAATCAAAATCCAATTCTCTAAACAAATGAAACGTTTGTTTAAAGTATTATTATCTACCTTTTCAAAGCCTCCTCGTTAGTACCACCATTCTCCACTTGCTCAACTGCTCCTGTGAGCAAATTCACTCTTGAAACTGGTTTTTTTAGCAAATTTGAACCAATTTCCCCAAGCTTTTCCATGTTTTCTTTTGTCGCCACATCAACTGAGGCGCTTTGTCCCGTTAATGTGTCATCCTGCAAGCAATATTTAAAGGTTATTGAATCCTTAGTGCTAATCTCCTGGTCAAAATTTTTCTCAGCCAAAAGTGCGATTTCTACTTTTTCAAAAAGTTTTAGCACAAACCCTTCCAAATATATACTCTTTATTAATTGTACTCCTACTATTTGTTTTATCATAGGGTCTAATAAATGAAAACCATATGATAAAAATAATAGTGGGAGTACGATTAACAAAAAAGGGAGTGCAATTAACGTTTTCCTTCTTTTAAACACAAAATTACAGATAAGATATGACTGTACAATTTTTTTTTGTAACTTGAAGAATAATTTCTTGTTATGATATTCGTGAGTGAAAAAGGAAATCAAATTGAGACTAGGATAAAATGATTTTGACTGAAAAGAAAAGTTTGATTACTTGAATACGAAGATAGTTGGCTTCAGAATGAAGAGCTTGGAAAATCACAGATATTTGATAATCCACCATATCTCCACTTGCTTGGGCAAACATCTCTACTAATGGTGGCACAGTCCCGTTAAGCACCCAACCCAAAGGGTTCCATTTGTTCACCATTTCAGCACTGAATTTCTTTTCTATCTTTGCTGATCCTGTGCCAATTGAGATCACTAGAAAGCGAGCATAATCCGTTGGCTTCATTTGGGAGAAATCTGGATCATTTTTAATCATTTGTTTGGTTACCTGGCTCATGGCCAGTATGGTCTGTCCATTTAACAGAAAAATGAAAATGAAGAAGTTGCATCATAAACTTGGAGATTTATAAAATGCTACTCTGTTAACAATTGGAAAAAAGAAAAACTTCTCAAAAAAAAAAAAGAAAAGGAAAAATGGAAAGCAAATTTTCCATTGCAAGAAAAAGGCCTCGGAAAAGGCAAATTATCCTTTTCCTTCTCTTTTTTAGTTTGAGGAGTGGGGCAATTTGGATATCATCAACGACCATTAAAGGGGCAATATTACATTTTACAGTTTATACCCTTAAATTTTATGTTGGTTCTACTCTATGACTTGAACTTAAATCTGCAATACTTTGCACCCTAAATTCTTCAATTAGTAGTATGCCAGTCCATCTATTGACTAATTACGCAAAACTAAGGAAATTAACATTGGTTTTGTAACATTCATTAAAAAAAAAGGAGTAATTAAAGTAGAACAAGTTGAATAATTAAGGGTGGCAAAAGTTTCAAATTAAAGTTTGAGATGTAGAATATCACAAATTAAAGTATCAAAAGCAAAGTGATAATTGATATCATGCTTTCGGGATTAAACTAAAATCTTCCTTTAGTTAGAAAAAGAAAAGAAAAGTTGCATGATTAACTTTTTAGTTATCCCTTTTGAATAAAATTTTGTTTATTGGTGCATTATATTCCTTGCAATCAAGTGCACACCTCCTACCAACTGTTTCTTTCGTCCGGTCCTATCCTCCTAATACATTTTGGTGTGCTATAGGACGCTCTTGAACTTTTCATACCTAACCATATTCTTTTGTCCCTACCTATCATACCCAATATTAAATGGACAAATTTGTCATTTTCAGTCAGCCATAGAAACTAGTGTGATAAGTGCTTACTTTTTTTTAAAAAAAATGTCATAATTCTTTTCATAGGCAGAGCCATCTTCATTTCTTTATAGCAAGAAAATAATTATGATAGTTCTACTTTGGAAGGGGTAACATGTTTCCATCACAATAGTAAAATTTCTTCTTTGTACTATATATGTGATAGTCACAGCAATATACCGGATTATTTGCAGCTACACCACCATCAGTGAGGTTGAAATCCCAGACATTTCCTTTGTCATCCTGATTTGTGAAGTAATGAACAGGAAAATAGGTTGGAGCTGCAGATGTGCCAATGCATATGTCAGATAACAGAGCATCCAGCAATGGGGAAGCTTTCACCTGTATTAATTGGACATTTGAGAAATTTCACTACAAGATAAGAACTAAAAGGATGAAAAGGCAATTTGGGTATGTTTTCGGCCTTTTGTGCAAATTGTAAACATGTATGTTACTTGTAGTATTAGGTCAGTCTGGGTTAAAAAATTCTTCTGTTCTAAAAACAACGTAGTCCTCACATTTTGGTACTCATGCCAATTTGATCCACAGTATTTCAGTTGCAAGCCTTCAGCTTCTACATTTGTGAAATAACGCATCTTGTGGACATTGGAGATTTAATTAGGACAAACGAGAAATATGAGAAACCAAACATATGCAGTCGTGACGGAATTTTGAAAATTGTGAGGGATTATCTAGGGAATTGAATTTTTGAGGTAAACAAATTTTAACTCAAAACAAGTTCGAGTCAAGAAAATGATGGTCTAAACCAACGTTTACACTTCTCAAAAACCAATATTAGATGTAAAAAAAATAGGAAGAAGAAAAAGATATTACTTAGTTTGACCTTTCAAGCACTATTCATCTGCTATTTAAATTTACATTTGCAAATCATGTTCGGTTAGAAAAAATTTTTTAAAAAAAGAGTAGAAATAAGTTATCGTGAAGATCAAACTGGTAATCCCATCTAAAATAATTCACATTATTTCCAAGATTATCATCATTGTCAATCCTAGCATGATCTTTTGTTGCAATTTCCACAATTATGAAACTCACACCACCTATTAAGTAATTGAAATGTGTGTGTGTGTGTGTGAGAGAAAGAGAGACAGAGAGACCTCATATGTGGAAAATATGGTTGGCTGTAAATACTTGACATCAAATGTTGGAATAACAACATTGGTCAACGTTTGGCGTAACCGAGTTTGCCCTAACTTTTCCTTGAGAATTTTGTGAAGGTATTTCCCATCATACAAGGGACCTGGGATAAAATTCTGCACGGGTTTGATCAACCCCAGTATGCCACTGCAAACAAAGGATCATCAATTTCATCATTGTATATACTACAAATTTGTCAACAATTTAATGTCTACTACCAAATAAACTGTCAAGAACTTAACATCTTCTACAAATAATGTAACGTATGTATCATGAAGACTCTGATCACTAGTCACTAACTACCTCTTTTGTGGGAATATTTTGGGGCCATTCCCCAAATAAAATGGCTTGATTTCTTTTGCAGCATAAAGAGGACGATTCTTTTCATTTGGTGCAGTTAACATAGCTGTTATGAGGCCTCCAGTACTGGTTCCCGCAATAACATCAAAATAATCAGCAATTCTTGCATCTTCACCATCCAGCTCCTGAGAATTTGCATCGCCATGAGTAAAAACAGCACTAGTAGAAACTGCTAATCATTTAGCCATTCTTTTAGTTTATCTCACCCCAGAGAAGCCTTACTTGTCAAAATTGCCTAGACTTTGTCAATCTCAGGACTGACTTTTACAACTTATATGAGTACTTGTATAGGAGTTTATCTTGACCAGCAATTTTGAAAACTAAAATCTACCGCAACAGTATATATAACAGTTGTAAATCTACTGCAAAATATGGTTTCCCCCCTTCTATTTTCTTGAACTTAAGCCCCTAATGGTAGAAATTAAATGCTGCTAAAGTTGAACTATATGATCATACCTGAAGTTGGGATTCAAGGAAATCAAGAATAGCAGCAGGAATGATGCCTCTGATGCCACCTCCATCAATGCTAAGAATAGTTATTAGATTTCCATTGGTTGGGGGCAGGATTTGAACAGGAGAAGAGTTTGCTCCCTCCATGTGGACTTGGCAATACTGATAATTAGCTAACCAAAATATGCTACTTGTGATATAATCAAATGTTGTGATATTTTATGCCACACATGTGAACTTTTTAAAAAGGAAAGTTTTATTAGTTTGGGATGTAGACCTCACCACTATAGTATTTAATTGGATGAAATTTTGATAGGCGTTCAAACCACCATTTTTTGAAGAAAATTTAGCCTGTCAACATTGGTTGCTGCCTGTCATGAATAAGGCCACGTTATACCAATTGCTAGAAATAGATGATAGCCAATAGCAAAACGAGGACAACGTACTCAGCGGGCAATCGTCAACAGAGTACAGATAAGATTTAAGAGTCAAGACTCTGTTGCAATTAATGATGGTAGTTGAATAGTATGTCAGTTTAAATGCTCATATTCATTTATTTTCAGGATCATAATACTGAGCATTGGACTAAAGATGTAGGAACCCTGTGTTTGAATAGACAATTATTTTTGAAAAATTTTAAAATATTAGAGTAACGTCATTTGTGATATGATAAATGTGAAATAAAAAATAATTAAAAGATACAAATGTAATTAGAATAGATGTTTGTACTAAAGTAATTACTATGCAACTTTAGTTGTTTAGGGGAGAGAGAAGGGAATTTTACAAAATTTAGGGAGGGCGACGGTTGGTCGGTGGTTGGAAAAATTGGTTCATATAAAAACTTTAAGCCTATAAAATAATTATAATAAACTAGAGGAGGATAATTGCATATTTTCAAGCATGTGTGGCTTAATTCACCAAGGGAAATTATCCTAACAGACTTGCAAGAGACATTAAATCATTAAATCTTTTAAATTTGTCCTTCTATATATGAAATAATGCTTCAATAATCTCTTAGAACATTATCTATATGGATATTTCTTCTGACAATGAATTGTCTATCGTAGTGAACTATCTCAAGTTTTTGGAAAACTGGGGAGAACACAAATGAAGGAATCCTTAACTAACGCTATAGCTACAACCCAAATTGTTAACTTGAGAGAAACATGTAATGAAAAATATTCTTTGAAAGATAAATTCGAGTATGTAAATTCCAAATTGTCTGGCTTCGCCATTGGAGTTCTTTTGACCAATTCTGGTCGATAAAAAGTAGCCAGATTTCATGTTGGGCTAATAATTATGGTAACTAGACACGAATCATATAAAATATATATCAAACATGTGATGCATCTTCTGCTGACTTGTTGCTCAGAAGTTTCTTTTTCTTCTTTCTTCCTTTTTCAAAAAACAATAAAAAAAAAAGGTTGGTAAATGATCACATTTGTTGGCAAAAGATATGCTGTGCTGTTTTAGCCTTGTTGATTTATGCTGCCCCTGTTCTACTTCATTTCCTTGTTCATTTCTTGTGATTTTGATTGTCGCAATCTCTTTTCATCTGACAGTAATTTTGCAAACCTATATAACATTCATTGCAAAGGATAATGATTAAATGAAGAAACATTAGCGAATAAATAACCAACATGCAATTTTTTCCCAATCAATTTGGACTAATTGTACTGGAAATTCAAGCCAAAAACTGGATAATTCAAAAAAGATTATGTCAAATCATTATACCTTTTCAGGGCATCTGCATTAGTGTCGCCATTCTCGATAGGCTCGGATAATCCTGTCATCAGATTCACTCTAGAAACCGTCTTGTTCAACAAATTTCACCAATTTTCGCTAGTTTTTCTAGGTTCTCTTTTGTTGTATCATCAGCTGAGGAGGTAGTCCCGGTTAATTCGTCATCCTGCAGGCAACATGTATAAAAGACACATACTTTGGACTAATTCTACCACGTATATCTTATGAGTAAATTTTGTATATACTGATAGTTTGTACATTATTATCATCGTTGAGTTCATGACATATGTGCAAAAGTTGAATTTTAAAATTAAATTTTGCATAGTTGTCATTCATCTAACACTGACAGTGTAAGAACGCTTAATCCATATCTTATATATGCAATCTTTCTAAATCTTTTTACTGTTTGACTATGATTTTTGGACTTAAATCCAACAAATATTTCAGTGTCAATTATTCCCAATTTACGACCTTCTAATCCTGTATTTTCCGGAAGAATACCAAAAAGCAACCGGGAAATCTTTTGCAACACTAAATCAAGAATGAACCAAAAGTAATTAATACTTCGAATGGATCTTTGCTGAAATACAATACTCAATCCAATTTATGATTTTTGGACATAAATCCAACAAATATTTTAGTGTTAATTATTCCCAATTATTTCAGGCGATAGATGGACCCTGTCAGAATCTATGCAAGTACTAAGGAAAGTATTAGAAAACAACAGTGGAAGGTCATAGAGGAAAAAAAGAGGAATTGGGGTGAGTCATGGGTGTTAGTGGGGGACTTTAATGATATCTGTTCCAATGGGGAAAAATGGGGAGGGAGAGAGAGGCCAGAGGGGAGCTTTAGGCACTTCAATAGCTTCTTTAAAGGGAATGAGCTTGTGGATATAGGGTCGGTGGGGGTACCATGGACATGGAGCAATACTTGAGAGGGGGAGGGAGAAATAAGGGAGAGACTGGACAGATGTTTAGGTAGTGTAGGTTGGGTGCAGGAATTTGAAAATGCAAACTGTGAACATGTTGAGAAGGAAGCATCTGATCACTGCCTTCTAATGCTAGAAACAACTCCACAAAGAAGGAAAGTGAAGAGAAGGTTCTACTTTGATCGAAGATGGGCCAAGGACAAAGAATCTGATTCAGTAATACAAAGAGCATGGGGAGTCGAACAACAAGGGTCAAGAATGTTCAGAGTGGTCAGAAGGATAAAGGGTGCAGATTAGCCCTGATCGAATAGAACAAAAGGGTAAAAGGTAATACAAAGGCAAAGATCCAAGAGATTAAGGAGAAATTGAAAGCAGCAAGAGATGAAGATGAGTCATGCAACAGTGGGGATATTGCATCCTTGAAAAGGCAGCTAAGTAAAGCTTACAAGGATGAGGAGATGTTTTGGAGTCAGAAGCTATGTTTTCAGACTCGGACCGGGAGTCGACTCGGCCGAGCTCAGGGGTCAGGGGTCAATGGGTTCGACCGGGGTCGATAGGGGTCGAACCGGATGACGTCATAAATACGTCATATATACATATATATATATATATATATATATATATATATATATATATATTTCCCTACAAATCAAGTTTACAAAATATAACCCAAAAAATCAATCATCCAAATTTATATCCAATTCACCAAACAATTCACTAAATTCATCCAAACGCACAAAATTTATAAAATAGAAATCCCATACATGTTTAATCCTTAACAAATAGCAATCCAAATAAGACAACAAATTCATGTTCAATCCTTAATAAATATCAACTCAAATAAAGCAACATGTTTAATTTCTAAAGTAAAGAATTATCTAAGCCATTCTTCATCTTCATCTTCATCATCCTTATCTCCAATTTCATAACTTTCCAAATCGATATCATCAAGATCATCCTCATCATCAAGTTGCACAATATTTGTGTCTTTCTTACCTAAAAATCATTTAAATACTCATAAATAAAAATATTCAAAAATAGACAAGAACTAAAAAGAAACTTAGATAAAGTTAGCAAATATAATCTTACGTGATTGAGAGGGTCCATCTTCACCAGTTTTGGGAAATTCTTCTTCGATCATTTCTTCTAACTCATCATAATCAAGCTCTCCTTCTTGTTCCTCATCAACTATCCAAAATTCAACTTTATCAATAGCTTCATAATCCACCGGATCATAAGACCTCTTTTTATATGAAAGCCTACAATGAAAAAAAGATGAAAAATTAGAAGTAAGAAATTTTTAAAAATTAATAATTACAAAAGAAAGTAAGCATGCGTAATAGTAATTTCATACCTATTCTTCAAACGTAAATTATAATGAATATAAACAAGATCATTCAACCTTTGATGTTCAAGTCTATTTCTCTTTTTGGTATGGATGCGTTCAAATACACTCCAATTGCGTTCACATCCCGAAGAAGAAGAAGTTTGACTCAAGAGTTTAATTGCCAACTTTTGTAAATGTGGAGCATCATTACCAAACAATCTCCACCACTCATCTATATTAGTAAAACACAATTAGTACTTTTTTTTTAAAGAAAAACAACAAAAGTAATTCTTATCAATTAATGTAATAAATGTGAAATTAAAAGTAGGCATACCTGGACGGGCAGTCTTGTAAGTATTTTGGGCAAATTGAAATCCAAAACTTTGGTTCTTTGACCTAAACATTGATATTTCATCCATCATGTATTGAAGTCCATCCATTTTCAACTTTTGCATGACTTCTAAAACACTTTTCATAATCTCAGGCATATGACAAGGGCTGTCTCTATCATATTGGAAGGCCGGATTCAACCAAAAAGCAGCCGCATGAAGATCTTTTTTCAACACATTATCCCATCTCCTATCTATTATATCAATGTATGGGCCATAGAACTTTTTTTTTTTCTTAAACAGCTCTTTAATGCCACTAACAACTCTCCACATGCCTTCATATACATAACCCAATAAAGGTTTTTCATCAGAATCACAAATACGCAACAAGCGCATAATTGGGCCCATAATTCTCACAATAATCAAACAATTATTCCAAAACTTGCCATCAAGAGCAATTTGTTTGACTTCTTTACCTTTTTCATTTTTCAACTCTCTCTTGTATGCACTAGAAGTCACTAAAGCCTCTAAATGTTGTTTCAGATCATGAAGATTTTTCAAAGCAATAAAATTAGTACCAAATCGAGTTTCGGCAGGACGAACAATCTCTCTCCAACCAGGCCTTTTTCTCAACCAACTAAGAATCCACTTTCGATTATGAACATACACAGTGACTCTTGAAGCAAGAGTAATTACATCTTTCACATGAGTCATTTCTCCAATATCTTTCATAATTAAATTCAAACAATGTGCTGCACAAGGAGACCAACTAATTGTAGGATATTTTTCAGAAAGTAAGCGGCCAGCAGCTTTATAATTACTTGCATTATCTGCGACCATGTGTACAACATTACTGGGTCCAACAATCTCAACAATTTCTGAAAACAGATTACACAAATATTCAGCATTAGACTCAAAATCTGAAGCATCAACAGATTTGATAAATGAGATCCCACTCGGACAATAGACCAGAAAATTGATCAAGCTTCTTTGCCTATTATC